CTGACGACAATATTTGCTTAAAACAAATATTCTGCAGTTTATACATATATAATTTTTATCATCTGCCCTTGGGAAAACATGTAGGAATAATATCGTGCAAGTAGAAGTAAGATTCAATGCGTACAAAAAAAGATCCATCGAAAAATTATTTTAGTAATGCAAATACGGATGCAAATGACAAGAAGAGCAGCAACAGTAGTTGCCGGATCTTGCGAGAGATGGCGAGCAATCGAAAAAAAGGACAGATGTCATTTCGTTAGACAAATACAGATATAGGGAAAACAAAATTAGAAAGGTTGACATTATCGACATCGAGGAAGTTCGCCAGTCACTGCAGGATCCCCTTAAACGTAAACATTATGACAAGTCTCCAATTTCGGTGCTGCCCTCTGCGCTGAGCTTGTCATGTCGCCGTCCCCATAATCATAGACTGCATCTTAAGAAACAAATTTAGTTAAAAAATAATAATAAAATTTTGAAATAAATAATTTTTTTTTTAATTTTTTGGGTATAAGCCCGACTTATGAACCCAACATTGGCCCAAGTTCGGAAAGCAATAAAGGCCCTAGATAAAAAAGCGTGACATTCCGAAATGGGGCCAAGGTGGGCGTCCTAACATGGGCCTCAAATAAAGTAAGGAAGCCCTTTTAGGGCCCGGTTACAGCCTAGGAAAAATTTATACACAGGTTGTTGAAATTACAATTGTAACAGAAACATTCTATTATAGTTGCTGACATAGATTTCGATGATATTAATATGGAAAAATCTTATGCCCCAATTGGAAGTTATGTACAAAGTAAATTGGCGAATATTCTGTTCACTAAGGAACTCGCTCGTCGATTGAAAGGTAGGTAACATTATGGATTAAGATAGATTACATTACATTTATTTAATACTACTAATTTAATACCTGCTAATTAATACTTAACAATTACTAATTGATTGTTAATGATTTTTTATATGTAATAAAAAAAATACACTAAAGATAAATAAAGATTTTGATTTTTAGAAGCAAATATTCACGGGATAAACATATACTCTTTACATCCTGGTCTAATTCCAACCGAAATAACACGGCATACCAGTAATACGTTATTTCGAGGTGCAAGTTTTTGTTATAATACTTGTACGGGATTGTTTTTTAAAAATGCTGAACAAGGAGCGCAAACTACAGTATATTGTTCTGTTGATGAGAAGACAGCCAATGAGACCGGTCTTTATTATTCGTAAGAATATACTAAATATGTACTGTACAAAATTATTTTTATACAGGATATATATATAATATATAAAATAACAATTCTCTGCATTATGTTTCTTTTTTCGTATTTTTTTTTATACATAGAAACTGTGGCGTTTCCACTACATATGGGAAGGCAAACAATCGTCAGTACGCCGAAAAATTGTGGAATGTATCCTGTCGTCTTTTGCATCTGGAACCAGAAAAAAATTTTACCACGTTTTTAGAAACCGTTTCACGTCAAATGGTTTAAAAAAATTTCTTTATTCTTAAGAGAATATTGTGGGAATTTTTACTAATCCGGGGAACAAACCTCTTATTTGTTCATATTAGTTTATATTAGATTATATTAGTGGATATATGATTATATATGATCATATAAGAAATGGAAAATATAATCTTAAACAATATAATATAGCCATATATAAGCATATATGCCTATATACCCGGAAAAAAATACCTCTTATTTGTTCAAAATATAATTTTGAACAATATTATATGGCTATATATGAAAATAAATAATTATATAATTATATATTCCATAAAACCACTAGAAGTATAACCTTATACAGCCATATATGGTCTTATATGCTTGTATATTATCATGTCTGATTATGTAAAAGTATATTTATAAAGCTAAAGATAATCATATATGAACATATACTCGGATCTATCCATAAGTTTGTATAACTGTTATAATAAATATTCTTCTAGTATCAAGAGACACGGTAGTGTCTCGCGCCAAGTACACGCGGAGCGAGACCGACCGTGACTCTTTTACGCGACGCGACGGGTTGCGAGTACCCGAGATGTTGAGATCTCGATAACGAGTGAACGGATCAAGTTCTAAGTAGGCTTGATCGATAGCTTGGGGTCCAATTAGGGGGGGGTTTCTCTCATAATATTTCGCTACGTGCCCTACGAGCGGAGATATTGCGACGCAAAGTCCAAATGGGAAAATTTATTTTTAAGATACTCCTCCTAACGCCGACGTTCTTGTATGATGACGTCATAATCAGAAACGTCACTTTCACTTTTTCGACGCTGGCGGCGCAGGTATCGCCAGTTTCGATATCGCGCGCGTATTTCAAAATTAGGTCGATAGACTTATCGGTCAGGAGGAAGATTTTTATTTAGGTAAATTAGGTAAAATATATAATATATATTGAGTCAACGGAAAAGAAGGTTCTCTACGCTCTACGCTTGGCAGAAAGTGCCGCTAGGGAATTTTTAAGTCGATTCTTATGAATCAAGCTTGATATAATATATATTTATTAAGTCAACGGAAAAGAAGGTTCTCTACGCTTGGCAGAAATTGCCGCTAGGGAATTTTTAAGTCGATTCTTATGAATCAAGCTTGAATTCGATGTCTAGGTATCCCAGGTTGTCGATGACGAGGTCCAGATAGTGCGCTTCATAGTTTTCGGTGTCCAGGTGTAATAATACGTTGAATTCGATGTCTACGTGTCCCAGGTTGCCGATGACGAGGTCCACATAGTGCGCTCCGTAGTTTTCGGTGTCTACGTGTATTAATACCTTGAATTCGATGTCCACGTGTCCCAGGTTGCCGATGAC